GTTGCCGCAATGACGATAGGAACTGTTTGTTTCATACTGCCTTACATGTCCACATTCAACTTGTAGATCGATATACGTCCTGATCTTCTCTTGTTCCTTGTTTCTTCAGTTCTAATAATAATAATCCTTGCATTTGATATAGCGCTTTTCATGTCTTCTCGACGTCTCAAAGCGCTTCACAGAATATGCTGTAAAGTGAATTGACAGTATATTTGAAGGCGAAAGGCGGAGGCCAATTGCGCACAGCAGCGTCTCACAAACAGCCGTGGATTGAAAATAACCAATTTACTATTGTGTTTTGTTTTGGAGGGATTATTATTAGGCGTGTGGAGTAAGGAAACTTGCCCAAGGTTTCGCCCTGACCTGCCTGGAATTGAACCCAGGTGATAATTACACAGTTGTAACCGCATCAATAATACACGTAGAATCTATTTGGTCCTTTGTGATAATATCTAGTTTGTTACAGATCACTGTTCTACCTGTGTGTACTTGTGATTATTGTGGTGTTATTTTTCAATGTCACATGCTGGTTGATGTTCATACCAGTTGGTCTTTACATCAAGATCAAAGTATTTGCAGATTGTCCAGTGTATATATTTAGCTGCATTATTATACCTGATCAGATATTCAGATTGAGCCAGGGCTGGACATAATGACAATATGTGATCTACTTTGTTTTCTTTCTTCTTTTCTTTTTGGAAGACTGATGTCTTTGGTCTTCAGAGGCCGGTGGAGGCCTTGGTGGTAATTATGTCGCTGATATGCTGTCCCACGCTATTTATCCAGGTGTCGAGTCTCCCGGACTTTCAACTTATCTGAAGGTTGATTTGATACCCAACAAGAACAACAAGCATTTATCTAGCCCCCTTCGTCTCAGAGCGCTTACCGTGCTGTGAGTGCAATCCTCTGGAAAATCCCACTGCAAAAAAGCACCAAAAGCAACGCAGAATAAACCCAGACACTCTTTTCAACCTCGTATGCACTCTGAACCAAGCTTCTTTAATGGTTTTCGATGATAAAACACAATCTGCCACTCCATGCCACCGCTCTACAGTCCACCGACCCATCGAGCCGGTAGACGTAAGGGTATATCTCTACGGGAAGTCAATTTTATCCACGACTCTTCTTCAATATCCAATAGATCAGCGCAGAACAAATTAAGCACGGAAAGTATCAACCCAGGAGCTGTGGAGGTTTTGCTTCAGCAAATGATCTGCTGAAATTACTGACTGAATCTATACTCAGCGCACTGCCTAAAAGCACCGCAGGCAACGAGAAGGCCCATAAATATTTACCATCAACATTTTACTGTCATGTTAAGATAGGTTGTTAACCACTCAGGGGTGCTCAGTTGTGGGTCTATCAAGAGCGAACCCTTGTTCACACAGCAGCTGTTTTGTCGACATGGTAGAGTGGAGCAGCAGCTTCGGTTTGAGCGCAGCTCTGATATCAAGTGAAGCGCTGGAGACCAAAGAAGAGAGTGCTCTTGCTGATTGCTGGAGGGTTACACTCGAGGTGCAAAAAGATTTGCGTCTTCCCCCCCTTTCCCGTGACTCTTGCTTGTCGATTGGTAGTGATTTCTCATCTGGCAGCGTTTTTAGTTATTTATAACAGCCCAATTCCAAATGTCCTGCAGTCAGGCTTACAGGTTGGGTTGCAAATTGCCCGATACATACCTATGACGAGAGGTGGGGAACAAGTTACTAAATGCACATATTCCAGACTAGCTCTAGGGAACCCACAGCGAATCGGAGGAGAGAACGAGGCCACAAAAGGGCAGGTGTGAAGTGGTTCCAAAATTGCCGTACAAGAATAACCATCCCTGCGGGAATGGGAGAGGGTTCAACTGCGAAATGTTCCGACTCCAAATTCACTGAAAGAAAACCTATGCTCTTTGTGTTAAGCCAAGCAAACTAAAGTACAAAGGAATAGACTAAGTGCATTAATTATGCTCCAGAGGCTGCATAATGTGGATGAAACTGTTCGGGGAAAAAAAAAACCCTGCCAGACATCGTGAGAATACTCAACGCTCGCTCTATGGGACATCCCAAGTGTTTCGTGGATTATAATAGAGGGCGGACCCACCGAGTCAGACAGATTTGGTCGCAGACTCTTGGGCTAGAACGCAGGCTTTATTTATCTCAGGGGAGGGGGAACCTGAAACAGCAATAGAGCGACTGAAGAGGGGTGTAGGCACCTGATCTCATGGTCAGTGCTTGCCACTCCTCTTGTAGACCTGTGCACTTTCATTCTCCTCCCCCACCCTCACACCAAACCACCCTTGCTCCAAACATTAACCAATCTCAGGCCAATTCTCCACCCTTCTCAGTCCAGTCCCCACAGCACCCAAGAGAGAAATGGGGGCATGGGGATCTCATTAAGACCACACAGCAGCTAAAAACAACTCGAGGCTTCCTACCCCCAAGGTCCTTGTGCCCACAACAACAATCCTTTCAGGTCGGGAGGACGTCTCAAAGTGCTTCGCAGGATATGTTGTAGAGTGCAGTGACTATATATTTCGTAGGCAGACAAAGTCTCTCCTGCTGGCAGATTTAACGTTCTGGACAAAAAGTTTTTTTCTTAATAAAATCACACAAAGGAAAGAGTTTTTGACAGTTAATTAGGAATATCCCAAATTGGATAAATACTACATTGCTCTGGTAGTGGTGGGTGGGGTGAGAAATCAATGTATAAACCGTGGGCAAAAGGGCTCATTAATTCTATACATTTTCATTGATTAATTACATAAATAAGAGCACCGATAAGTCCCTCCAAAAACCTGTGCTGATACAAATAATATAAAACACACGGTTTCCACAAAAGCCACAATAGACAACATGGTCCCAAATGGATTTTTTTTTGTTGACAAGCCGGTTTCTAGTCTGCTGACAGGAGTTTCCCCCACCGCCTTATTGGGTAGTGTTCCACATGGAGTGGAACTATTTTACAAAGGGTTTTCTTAAGAAGGCAGGTTTGTTTATTGTGCTGTTGGTTTTCGGACCCCTGCATTAGTTTACCTGAAATATACAGACTTATTGCCGTTTTGTTACTTGCTTGCAGAAGGATGAAGTATGGTTGGGGTTGGGGTGGTAGCCAAATGCCTTAATTCCATATGAGGTCACCACCAACATCACATTTGCCGTGCAAAGGAAGTGATATTAATGGCACCATGGTAATCTGGAAATTTGAAATTCCTTCAGAAACGTCAACTGTTGATGACGGTGTCTGGTCATTGTACCAACCCATCAGATACATCAGACTGTGGCACAACTGTAAAACTGAGCCTCGCATCCTGATCAACCCAAACAATACAAGTACAAGGTCCTCATATCCTCTGCATTGATAACCAGAAGTAACTAATGAAGTGCAGAGAACCTGGCGAAATAAACACCAATTGCTGCGACAGCGCAGTCTCTCTTGTTCTGTCCAAAGGACTGCAAAGTGCGGACTGACAAGTAAAGAGATGACAGCTATATCAGCACATCTGATCTCGTTGTGTCTGAATACATTTCCATGGTTACTCGATAGAGAGACCTGGAAATTGGAAAGAAGGCAGGAAGTATCGCAGGAGTCTGCAAAATTGAGATGCACAATTAATTTTTAATTGACTCCACTGAGGGCATTGAACTAATACTCAAGTTGGGTCCGAAGTCAATTAAACGTGGCTGCGGGGCAAGAGATACGTCACGTTGACTTTTCAAAATAGGCAGAGTAGCGCAACATCGGGAAACTTGAGATACAGGTAAATGAAATATGCCAATTGCCACGAGCAGTCCACAGCGCTGTCAGACCAACTTCTAACAAGGCTCCGAGGTGTGTCTTATGTTCGGTACCGGAACGAAACAGTCGGTCCTAAAAATCAAACTGACTTTTTTTTACAAAAAACAAAAATCTGGATCCATCAATTTCTCCCCTTTGGGTATTAGTTTAAAAGACATCCAGCAGGTGCCGATTTTGAAATAATTGAAATAAATTGGCTCAATTAGACCATCGAATTGTCTCCAGTTTGGCTCAAAGGCCTCCTTTGACAAATGCAGGAATGCTCCAAGGCCTCGGATTCTGGAATGGGGTCTTGTCCTTTCTGGAATATTGCATGCATGAGGTACTACTGCAACCACAGACAGCTTGCGTTTACGTAGAGCCCTTCATGTAGGAACATTTCTCAGTGCTTCATGCCAACAAGGGAGAAGGTGAAGTGACTTTAGGTGCTGTTGAAGAGGTAGGTGGGTTATCCGGTGGGATTTGTAGACAGAGAGGGGACGAGACGGAGGAAAAGAGACAGGGAGTTACAGAGGTTGTGGGTGTAGTGGTTGAAGGCTGGAGCAGGCAGGGGACGAGATAGTACAAAGTGTACAAACTGTTGGAATAGCAATGGATTGAGAGTTTGTCCGAGATCTCCATAAATCACTGACATAAAAGATGAGACAAGTGGAGATGAGCTAATTTTGTCAGCAGAGGAGAAAATGGAATAAACATTTCATGAGACGTGTGCCGTGCTTGGGTCACACAGACCTCCCAGTGGATGCTTAGTGAGTGACCATGATAGATTAGAGAGGACCTGCACTCTCTTCTGTCTTCTATCCTCCCCACCATCACCTCACCTGGGAAATGGTCCACAAGATGAAATAATGAATAAATAAATCTCTACCCACGTGCATCCGCCCCCACCCCACCCCCGCGCCCACACACACACTACATAAAAAAAAGTCCTCATGGTAACAGTTGAACTGCTAAATTGGCTAATGTTGTAGTCAATTCGAACAAGCAAAACCGATGGAAAGTCTTTAAGACAGTACGATAAACCAATACATTACAGGTTACGGTCACTTAATCCGACAGATCAAGTGGATTTAACGCAATTGCGTTCTTCTTGACAGGAGTCTAGTTCTGGTAGTGAATGACCAAGGTCAATCGATGGGAGTGAGAACAGAGCTCTAATTTGCTTCGCGTGTGGCTGTGGGGGCTCTTAAAACGCGAACGGAAGACAGTCAGAGACGTACCAAAGCGTTTCACAGCATTGTCACCCTGATCCGGGAACTCCAGGTCCAGCATCAAGTCATCCTCATCCAAATCGCAGGATCCCAATCTGTTCAGCACGTCCTGAGATCAGAGGGGGAAAAAAATAATAGCGTTACCATTGAATAAAGAACTGAAGCTGCTCACCACGAGAACGAACGCCACCAACAATAATGCTTGTACTTGATAAAGCGCCTTTATCACGCCTTCAAAACGGCTCGAAACCTCTTCACAAGATTTGCTGCCCAAATAATACTGCTTTGTACTTGATCACATCCTCAAGATATCTCAAAGCGCTTCACAGGATTCACTATAAAGTGGAATGACTGTATTGCGTGGGCAAAACTCAGCAGTCAATTTGCGAACATCATTGTCCTGCAAACAGCCATTGAGTGAGTGACTAATTAAATTCGGGGGTGGGGGGGATTGTTAGAATACCCCGGGAAAAACTCCTCCTTTTTTTTGTGAATAGTATCAAAGGATTTTTAACGTCCACCTGAACAGCCAGACAGGACCGCAGTGTAATGTCTTAGACACCTCCAACAATAAAAGCTCACCATTCCCCCCACCCCCACCCAGTACTGCATGTGAGTGTCAGTTTGGACCATGTTGGTTCCAAGGTGACCGTAGGCGCGGTCAAAGAAGAAGGTCTTCAGGGCGTGACCTGAAGATGGGGAAGGGTGGAGGGTGGGGGGGGGGGGGGGGGGCTGGGGTGGCGAGGAGAAGGGAGAAGGGGTTGAGGGAGGGAGTGACAAAGTTTCGGACCGTAGTGGCTGAAGGCACGTCTGCCGATGGTGGAGCGGAGGATTCGGGGGACACGGAGGAGGTCGGACCCAGTAGAGCAGAGGCAGCCGGTGCTGCTGTGGGGAGAGAGGAGGTTAGAGAGATGGGGGGTGCCAAGGAATGGAGGGATTTAAACACTAGGGTGAGGATCTTGACAGGGCGGATACAGTGAAAAAAAAGCTCTCTATCGCTGTCCTCGCCGCATGGCTCCATAAAAAAGCACCAACGACTTAAATAGCACTTGCTCCAGGATATCCACTGTATATCATACAGACTCGCAAGAATTTAGATCCAATGAGAAGCCAAGTCAGAGCAGACATCTTGTGCCTCTGTGCTGTACAGGAGAATTTCTGGAGAGAAGGAAAACTTCTGACAGCGGCCACACAGCAGCGATGCCTTAAGGCACCTTTCAGGTCGCCAGACCGTGCTTTCCCACAACACAAACAGCAACGCAGCGTGTTCAGCCCCTACGATTCAAAGGGAAACGCGCAAAGTGTCACAGCAAATTGTCCAGCTTCAGGAAAACTAAGAACAATTCCTACTACCAGGTATGGCGGGTGACAATTTTACTTCGTTTCAACAATGTCAAACTGCTGCATTACTGTGGCTGTGAAACAAGCTGCAGCGAAAATAATAATAATAGTTTTGTCTCACTCTTGGAATAGCATTTGAATGCTAAAATATAACAAGTAGGAACAAATCTCCAGACAGCATTAATCTTCTTGCAACAGGCCTGTGTGTGTATGTAATATATATATACACACACAATAATAATCATACTTGATTTTTATATAGTGCCTTGTCACTTTGTTGAGACATCTCAAAACTCTTCATAGAATACACTATCGCGTGAATTGACTCTATATTTTGCCGGCGAAACACGGCGGCCATTTGCGCACAGCCGAATCCTACCAGCAGTCATAGATTGAGCGACCACATTTTAATTTTTTTAAAAAAATTTCAAGGAATTATTATCCCCAGAAAGCGATCCGCCAATCGACTATCAACCGGGTTCCTATTTACTGCTATTATAACATATAATATATATATACACACACACACATACTGTGTATGATAAAATCATGTTCTGCATAAAGAAAACTTTCAACCAACTTTTAAATGGCCTAAAAATAATAAATTGAAATTAAAGTCAGTCATTTCTCAAAGAGCGCACTACATATCTACTTCTGGAACATTCACGCCTGAAGCTGTGCTATAAAATATGCATTTTCATATAACTGAAGGAGATTTCCTAATATTTCTTACTGCTGCAGCTTAAGGCTAAAATAAAATCTTGGTACATTAGCTTATGAATCTATCTTTCTAACAAAATTACTTTGGGGTTGCTGAATTTTAAATTACCTCTGCATCAACAAAAGCGTGTGAGGTTGTGTTTAAATTACACTAAAATGAAGGTACAATACCTCATTTACATTTAATTAATTTCTTTTTCTTATAAAACATAATTACCTTACAGCCAACAAGACATAACAGTGAGCGTGTTTTGCCTGATCTACATTGAGCTTTGTTGCAGGAATGAGTTACTGAATATTCCCAAATCACTCTCGACGGAGGTTCAAGAGTACTTGCAGAAAATAGTTCAGTTTGTTATATTTGCCCGAAGGAAGTTCAAATTGAAACTTAGTTGGCGGAAATTAATTTCTAACTTACGAGTTTTACGTTCAACTTGCAGCATGAGGTCTGACAGCCGCTACACGACGTAAATGCAGCAAAAGTTCACCTCGGTACTTACAGTCTAGCTTTTTTGATAATTTAGGACTCGGTTCGTAACCTTAAGCAGGTGTAACGTTATCTCGTCACAACAAAACACTGCCTCTTCATTGCATAATTCAGCGGTAATCGATTTCATGTAGAGTGTGCTGCTGCCATCCACTGTCTGAACGCGGGGATTACTGTCCGTTGTGACAGCCTGATTACAGCTCTTCCTTTCCACATCAAACACAAAACTAACTGGTTGTTGAAGCTGAGTCAACTCTGTCACTGCAAGGGAAATATGGCTCGGGGAAGAGTTATCCGGAACGGTGTAGTTAGGCATATTGTATAAATATATATATATAAATAAATGCAGCCGGTATATTGACAGCACGATGGCTTCAGTGATCGTGACAGGTCAAGCCAGGTTCGAGTTATCAGGCGTTTACTGCATTTACTCTGTCGTCTGACAATTCTGCCGACATTTCCGTCGGTAAAATTGTAAGGACCCTTTCCACTGTTATTAAAGAGATGGACTGAGCTACACGTACACCTTGCTGTCTGGCTCCACAGTGAATTCCAGCATATAAACCGGGCATTAAACATCGCTGATATTCAGTTTTATAAAGGCCACAGGCAGACTCATTCTGCTTGGAAATGATCCCAACATGTACTGAACTCGCCAGAATCTGATAAAACACCATGAGAAGAATCTCATTAAAACACCTGTGTGCATGTGTGAAAAAAATGAGGAATTAACACCATTCCATCCACAGTGACATCTCGATCCTGCCAGGCTGATGGGCGGGGGGCGGTGGGGGGAGGGAATTCATTAAAATTAATTAGATAAAACGGTATTTATAGAAAAATTATCATTTATTTTCTGAAACGTAACGTTCAGGGTAAACTTCGAGTCAACCACCAGCGCAAAAAGGCAAGTTAAAAGTGGAAAGCAAAGCAAAAGAACGAGTTCCCGGAGAGAAACTGAATCTCGAAACCAGGGAGAGGTGGGAGGTGGGGAGGGGGGGCGGGGGGTCAGACGGCAGCCAGAGGTCATGGCGCACGGAGCTGAATTTGCCCGATTAAAAAAGTCGGACTCTTTCTCTCTCTGGGGCTCTCCCTCTGGGGAGGGCTGTGTTGGGAGGCTGGGATGGTATTTTACTGAGAGCTGAATGTTCTTCTCCTCTACAGTACACTTTCAGGACAACAAAAGAATGAAAAACAAATCAACGTGTATCCACCGATTGGAGTTAGGTACTAAGAAAAAAAGAATAGGATGGAAACAGAGGCACAGGCTAGCGAGCGTTCCTCTGAAACTCTGAATCACCGGAAATTAGTTTCGGGACGTGATTTGAAGCGTAAATCGTTGCAGAGCAACTCTGTTCACTTCAGCACGGTTTTTAGTTCTGCCTTTCAGACGATCGGAAGGGAAAGAATGCTCTTTTCTTGCGAAGGAGGAGCTGACTGCTTGCTGACTGAGAGGGATTTGAGAGTGTGACGCCGCCACATTGGCGCAGATATAAATCGTGAATCCAACAGTGCTTCCGATTCAACTGTACATGTTATTCTTCTCGCTCGAATTGCAAAGCCATATACGTTCCCTGAGCCAGCAGCCGATCACTGATGCCGGCGCTCGCTGTTGAAGTGAAAATGAGCTTTCAACAGCACAGAAATGGAAAATGGCAAAAGTAAGTGAACAGGAATTCTAAATTCCTTTCTCGGCATCTTCCTTCACTTCTTTCTTCCAACAAAAAAAGACGGTGTTCCGATGAGCATCTCTTTCCTCGGCGTGGTACCTTGGTTTTATCTCGGAAACCAATTCACTAAACTCAATTGAAGTATATAACGTGTTTGACAAGGTAAATTTGACTCTCCAAACCCATATTTTTGGTATTTCTGGCACCACAGTGTTTTGGTATTTTGTTATTATGGGGAGTGCACCTTTTTTCCATCACGCGATTGAGGCCAAAAAAAAAAAGAAGCGATTTTGCTTGGAAGTGTAACTGGAAGAGCTGGTTTCAGAAAATAAACAAGTACCTTTAAGCCAGATCTAAACTACTTATGTGCTTGGCGCGTATGCTGTGAACCATACCATAACCTGGCTCTGACTTACAAGATAATAATGTAATGAACCGAGCTTGGGGAAGGTTCCCAATGACGGCAAACCTCGAGAGGAATATCATTTATTTACTGCTTGAAATAGCTGCTGGATATTGGCTGAATGTATAAAATATAATATATGATATATACATGCGTGTGTGTGCATTAGTCAGCATACTTTGGACAAGGTATTTACTTTTTTCTATATACCATTCAACCCGAAAGTGATCCCTACTTATCTTCCTCTCCCCCCCACACCCCCCCCATACCCCTTACTTCTCACGTACATTATACAGAGTCCCATCAGCGAACAACCAATGTACAGACTATCTGGGGTAGTTCCCATGGAGGACAGTGAGGGAAGACACATCGAAAATAAGAAGTCCACTGACTGAGTTTTGGGACTGTATTTTTATCACTAAATTTAGTGGCCGCATGAAACACGTTGTAATGCCCTCCCACCTCCCTACCAACCTGCCCGCTCCGTC